AAAGGCACACAGTTCCTTGACCGATAGCCTTATCGCCGTTTTCTAGTGTTCTAATCTTTGGGAGTCACCTTCAGCGAATGGTCTCCTCTGTTCACTTATCGGAGGTTTGCACCTCCTTCAAGTAAGAGGTGGAGCTGCGTGAAGTTGGCGGACCCATTACTCTAAACTATAGAGCATACCATTACCCCGCAGAAGGCACCAATGAGCTGGAGCCAACGCTTTTCAGACCAAATGTCCCACCTTTTTTGAAAAAGAATCCAAACTATAAAATCACTCATAAATTACCCACAACTTATCCTATAACCGGGTATACCCAAAACGGAGATCCACAGCACATTTATCTACAAAACTCGCTTGGGTAAGCTTGATGGGATCGCCTGTTCTCTTTGGCGGCCTCCCAGCAGTCGAACGGCTTTACTTTTAGAGGTAACGAGTTAAAGCCGGCCAGATACTCACTGTTTTTCAATGTTCTTAAAGGTTCTTATCATTTCCTATTATTTACTTGCAGTACGACCCTCTTTATCTTCATTGTTTACTTAATTACCACTTATAAACCAAGAATCGCTTTTTGTTTGCAAATAAGGCATCGAAAATTTGTTTTGCACTGAGGAAGAAAGCCCATGTGAACTTCGAAAGATCGGAATGCGTAAACAAAAACAAATTAATAAGAAGAAATAAACTAAAACAGAAGATCGATCGCACCTGTTTAGCGTTGCCAACGATGAATTTGATGTGATCAAAGCAGATGAACGTGCCATTGTCTGATTGTGATCTCGATGCATCACCGTGTGGAGCCTGAAATTGTCTGAATCAAGTGGTAAAGATTTGTATTGAATGCTAAAAAAATGTGATAAAAAATGATTGAAAAAACTTACCATGGTTCGTGATAGGTGGCGACCCGATTACCACTGATGGTGTCCCGTTACCGATAAGGGCGGACCGATGATAGGCGGCACTTTACCATGTGATACCCCGATGTCATCGAAATACGAACCACGCAGGTCGTTGACGGTCTGATACGCATTGATGACGAATGGTCGTTTTTGTACGGAGGCAGTCACCCACATGGGAGATCTATGATGTTACCTGGGAAAATGTAAAGATACAAGTCATTGGTGTCGACTTGTCCCGTCTCGAAATATGAACTCACCCCCGACTTCCTTAAGAATCGTAGGAACGTCTGGATGTGTACGTGGCCTCCACGGTGACTCTCTGGAGTCAGACTTTTCCACGCGGATAGACCAGGGGAATAAGAGGGTAGGTTGACCCGGCTCGTGATGCCGATCCTGGGTTTCTTTCTCCAGGATATACCTTTGACAGAGACCTCAATTGACCCTACTCATCCTAGAACAAGAGACGTCGTGCTGATCCAAATCGACTTACCCTTTCTTCGGCGGGCAGAAATTTCCACTCTTCCCTGCTGAACCCCCACTCTTCATTGCACCTTTCAGCGACACAATAACACTTGCACCTTTAGCTCAGGTAATTTCGTTACGACTGATAACCTGGTAACTGATGACCATCAGTTTCATTGACAGATTTTGAGTAATGTTCCCGGTAATGGCGAGTAGAGAGCATGACTAAGGTGGAGAGGCCGATCTAAAAATATCAGC